CGACTGTGGCGCTTTGGTAGGGATTCCTATTGGTCAGTCTGACCTACGTTGTAGTGACTGACCGATAGGGAACGTCTCGGTTACATATTGTAACCCTCGTTTCCTGACGGAGGGAACGGAGACGTAGGTCCCATCGCCACATCTGCTGCTTCCCGCTGGGGGGCCAGCTTTCCAAGTTTGGCTCCTCAGCAAAAAACTGAAGTGCAATCACACAGCCGCTCGTTTATGCCCGCGCTGACAAGGACGCACAGCTGTTGCTTGTGAGCTTGAGCTTGGCCGTTCTCATATTATATTATGTGCAGTTGTCTATCGACCTCTGAAATATAATAAGGATTTTATAAATGAGTTTTCCAACTTCCTGGCCGAGATGATGCCGAAATATGACCGCATTCTAATTACTGGGGATTTTAATGTCCATGTGTGCTGTAATGACGCCCCAATGGTAAAAGACTTCCTATGCCTTATTGACTCTTTTAATCTCACACAGTTTGTGGCTGGACCCACACATGAACGTGGACACACACTTGATCTAATTCTATCTTTTGGGTTGCCTGTTCATAATCTAGAGATTGGCGATGCATTGTTCTCTGGCCATATGCCCATACTATTTGAGATTGCCCTGGACTGTAATGCAAACAAACCCTGCAGTGTTGCTCGGCCCTGCCGCATCGTAAACTCTACTACTGCTGTTAAATTTTCATCTGTGTTTAATCAGAATTCTAGTATACCACAGCATAATGATTCAGAGGAGCTTAGCTCATGGTTACATTCCACCTGTCAATCTACTATAGATATTGTAGCTCCATTAAAACTTAGGCAACCAAAAACAAAAACTGAACCATGGCTAAATGACTCGGTGCGTGCTGTTAGACGCAAGTGCCGTCAAGTCGAGCGCAAATGGAAAAAAGACAAACTGCAAGTGTCATTCCAAATGCTTAGGGACTGTTGGCCTCACTACCAGAAAACTGTGAAAGAAGCAAAAAGAATGTATATCTCTGAGATCATTCTTTTGAACAGTAACAAGCCTCGCGTTTTGTTTAAAACTATTGATTCCGTTATTAATCAGGCATGTGATTTTTCCGGATTAATCCGGAATTCCGGATTTTCCGACCTGAAAATGTGACCTACGTGAATCATGCAGATCTGTAAAAAAAAAAAAAAAAAAAAAAAAAAAAAAGACGGGGACGGGTGTCGGCAGCCGGAGTGAAAAGGAGAGAATATGAGGACATAACCCATATTTGGCTGACGTGCGTAAAGAAAGTTCCTTTCAAAGTATCAACAAGGACGTATTTGCGTTCAGCCAGAGAATGTCTAATTGGTTCAGCTTGTTCACCTGCTCAATCTCGTATCTCAGTCGCTCTCGCGCTGGTATCGTTGTCAGTTGATATATTTCAAATTTGCGCTATGATCCATTGCTCCAAGCAAGCTGCTGACTGCTTTTGTAGAAATATGTAGCAGCTATATCGTGCATTCTGTCAGTTGCAGTTCTGACACCTCCGTCTCAACAGCATTAGTGTACAACGCGACAAATACTCGCAATATTAACGCAGAGGAACGGCTATCTGTTCAGCGAGTTCACAAAAGTTAATTTGCATGTGCTTTAAAGCCTTGCCGGTTAAACATGTCATTCACTGCTGATACGCTGTTCTGATCGCGAACACCCGACGCGCACATGAACTAAAAGCTTGTCTAACAGCGCCTGGTTGCTGGACTAAGTTATCTTTCGAGTATTATTTCGCTAATACTCTCAAATACACACAAGGTTTACATAAGAACATTTGGTTATGTCTAAACTCAAAGCAAACCGAGAAAATTGAGAGAAATCTGCTTGTCAAATGCTCCGTGTATATTAGACGTGTCGCGTACAGGTCTTAAAGTGACAGTAGCCCTAATAATAAAAATGCAGCCGCTTGTTCTTAAAGGGATAGTTGACCCCAAAATAAAAATTCTGTCATTATTTATTCACTGTAATGTTGTTCCAAACCTGTATTAATTTATTTCTTGTTCTGAACAAAAAAGAAGATATTTTGAGGAATGTGGGTAACCAGACAGTTTCTGGTCCCCATTGACTTCCATAGCGAAAAATTTACTATGGAAATTACTGGGGTACATCAACTGTTTGGTTACCCACATTCTTCCAAATAACTTAAACAGAAGAAATAAACTTTTTCAGGTTTAAAACAACTTGAGAGAGTAAATTATGAAAATTTAATTTTTTGGGAGAACTATCTATTTAATGTTAATTAAACAACAAAACACTGAGGAAATATATTTCCTCCCGGTATATTTTCCTGCTTTTTTGTCCTTAGCCAATCACATGCCTGATTAATATTCCACAAAATGTCTGTGTTGATGTCTCCCCGACTGTCTGTGAAAATTTTTTACGCTTTTTTAATGATAAAGTCACCTCCGTTAGAGCCCTAATTCACCTTCTGCGTGTGACCCTTCAGTCTCTGTTAGCTGCTCTTTTGTATTTGATAAGTTGGAGCCTGTGACGTTGTGTATGCTACAGGAGATCGTTGGAAATTTGAAGCCCTCCGGTTCACCGAGGGATGCTATTCCTCCTCGATTTTTTAAGGAGGTTTTTTCTACCATAGGACCGTCTGTTCTTGCAGTTGTTAATAGCAGTCTGTCCTCTGGTGTGGTCCCTAAAATTTTTAAACATGCTGTAGTGCAACCTTTACTCAAAAAACCTGGTCTTGATCCGACTGATCTTGCAAATTTTAGGCCTATTTCAAGACTACCTTTTATTTCTAAAATCCTGGAAAAAATAATCTGCAATCAAATAACGGCTTTCTTGAAAGAAAACAATATTCTTGAGGTATTCCAGTACGGTTTCAAATCTCTACACAGTACAGAATCTGCTCTTTTAAAAGTTTTTAACGATATTTATTTAGAAACAGATTCTGGTAATTATGTTGTTCTTGTGCTTCTTGACCTGACGGCTGCATTTGATACTGTGGACCATGAAATTTTGATTTCTCGCTTGGAACATTGGGTGGGCATAAAAGGCACAGCGCTTGAATGGTTTAGGTCATACCTGGAAGGTAGGACTCTCTGCGTCAGTAATGGAAATTCGGAGTCCTCTTCTGCATCTCTCTCTTGTGGGGTCCCCCAGGGCTCAATTTTGGGTCCCCTTCTCTTTTCACTGTATTTGCTACCACTGGGCTCAGTAATTAGGAAACATGGCATATCTTTTCACTGTTATGCTGATGATATTCAGATATGCATGACTATTAAAAAGAATGCCTCTGTCAGTTCGTTATTAGAGTGTCTCGATGACGTTAAAGTCTGGATGGCAATAAACTTTTTAAGTTTTAATGCTAATAAAACTGAAGTGATGATTTTTGGCGGTACTAATGGGACTCGTTCCATTGAGTTGGGTGCCTTGGCCCAATACAATAAATCAGTTATCACTAACCTAGGGGTTAAAATTGATGCTGATCTGAACTTTGACAGCCAGATCAGAGCAGTAGTCAAAAAAGGCTTTTTTCAGCTGAGGCAATTGGCCAAAGTAAAGCCTTTTGTAGAACAACGACAATTTGAGACAGTCATCCATGCCTTTATCACTAGCGGGCTGGATTACTGTAACGCACTATTTGTGGGCGTTAGTGGGTCGTCTTAAGCTCGTCTCCAAATGGTGCAAAACGCAGCAGCACGGCTCTTAACAGGAGTACGTAAATACGAACACATTACACCCGTCTTAGCGTCGCTTCACTGGTTACCTGTAAGGTACCGGATTAATTTAAAAATTATTTTATTTGTTTTTAAATCATTAGATGGTCTTGCCCCATCATATATCTCCGAGTTGATACTTCTCCACACACCTACTCGTTCTCTTAGGTCAGCTGATAAACTGCTTCTACAAGTGCCTAAAACAAACCGGAAACTCAGAGGGGACCGTGCGTTCTCAGTGGTTGCTCCAAAACTGTGGAATGACCTGCCACAGCCGATAAAAAAGGCCACCTCAGTCACCCATTTTAAATCTCTTTTAAAAACTTATCTTTTTTCTTTGGCCTTTAACACCAGGAGTTGACTTTTGTTTTTATGGTTTTGCAGTTTGTGGTTTGTTTTGTGTTATGTTGCATGTGATGTGTTGTCTTTGTATATTTGCCTATTCTTGTGTGCAGCACTTTGGTCTACTTCGGTCGTTGTAAAGTGCTTTATAAATAAAGTTTGTTGTTGTTGTTGCAAATGATTGCACGCCAATGTGGATTGGCCTGTTTTAGATTCACTCGAAGTAAATTGGCTCTCTAGCGAGATTCCTATTGGTCAGTCTGACCTACGTCAGGGAACGAGGGTTACCATATGTAACCGAGATGTTTCTTGTTGAATCTGGCATTGAATTCGTGGAGATTCTGGAAGCTGTCTTCCGTAAAATGTGCAGCTAATGAGAGCTAAAATGTGCAGCAAATGAGAGCTAAATTACGAATGTAATTTTCAGGAACATAATTAAACATCAATTTTAGCCATTGCTGAACTACAGCGTCCGTAGGAAGACCAAACACAGAAGACCTGACAGTTGGGTGAAAATAGCACACTTTCAACAGCATGGAACTTCCTCTTCGACAAAGCCGCAGAAATATAGCCATGCCCTCTTTTTGCATATTCCAGAGGGGGGGGTTGATGTAAATTTATGGGTTAGTTATGTATAAAACCTGGGAAAAGTATACTGTTGTAGTCCCATTCGATATTGTAGTCCCAGGCATTAAAGGTCCTGATTTTTAAAAGACGATATTTCTGCTTACTTTGAACTTTCAGCTCAGCAACTTTGCAGATACTGTTCATGCACCAACAGTAACATTACACACTATTTAAAATGAAAAAAGTGAAATCGCAATCAACCACCCCTTTAAAACGTGAATTTCTTATTTTAAAAAGAAAAAAAAAATCAAGAAATTATAATGTTGAAAATGATCAGGCATCACTTATTTATTGAAATAGATATGAAATTGAACAGAATTAAAGATTTTTTTTAAGAAATATTGTCTTTTATGCAGCAAGCCCTGATGATGACTATCGTGAATTTGGCCCAGAACTTTGTGGGCAGCAACAATGTCAACATTCTTCAGCCTCTTGGCCAGTTTGGTACCCGTATCAATGGCGGTAAAGATGCTGCCAGCCCTCGTTACATCTTCACTATGCTTAGGTAAGATTTTATTTGTTTTGATTTAATAATTTGTGAAGTTTGTGCTTAGACCATGTATAATGGAGCATTTCTAATAATGATTAGATCTTAGAAATGTTGGGATCTTCATGATGATCCTTTTTAGGGCTGCAACTAATGTTTATTTTGATAATTTATTTTTTCTGTCAATTATTTGTTCAATAAATTACAGTGGTTGTAGAAATCCAGTAATAAAAAAATCCAGTAATAAAAAGTAGTACTTTAAATCAATTATTCAAAATGGATTGTACTCCAAACAATGTGCAATTTGAAAGTTATGAAAACAAACAGTGCCTTTATACATCATATCACACGAGTAGCAGTGCAATATGGCTGTATATCAGCAAAGTATACAGCCATATCACAAGGATATAAGTGTGATATTACGTTTATACAACAGTTCGACGGCACAAGGGAGACGATCCACAAAGCCCACGAGACGAGATACATGATTTTGGGTTCACAAGAATGAGACAATATTTGAACTCTATTTTTAAGAAAACTATAATGACGAAATATGACTGGAAAATACTCTTTTATTCGACTTAAAGTGACTAAACTTACTTTTTGTGGTAATAAAAATAGACCTAAGTGAACAACAGCCTTTAAAATTACTTGAAAATACATAACAACAATGAGGCAATAATAATTGGTTTAAATAAAGAATCAAAATCCTGTAATCAAATCAAATAACAACATTATCAAAATACATGTAATATTTAAAATATAAACAATCAACACATATATTATGTACTATAAATGCCTACAGAGGACACCAACTTCTTGTTGTTGATTGGCCACTTCTACAACCACTGTAATTTATTGAACAAGAACATATGGATATCAAAACATCCAAACTCAGAGGGAAGGTTTAAACTTATATACTTTTAATCGCAACTAACAACAATTTGCATATTTAGAAAGATATTGATGTATTCTTGTGTGTTGGCATAGGTTTTTTAACGATTTACAATACAAATCTGGTAAAAAATGGTGCACAATGTATTGCCAGATGAAAGCAAACCAAACTCTCAGAAATATGTGGAGATGGAGTTTGTTAACCAAGCTGCTGAGATGTGCTCCATGGATATAAATGATAACAGTGCAACACTTCGCATGAAACACAAAGCACATTAGACTTTCACAAAGCACATTCATTCATTCATCCTACTATCATATAGTTTGACATATTTAACATCTCTACATCTTCAAATACACTCACCAAAATTAAATTAAAAATTAGTTTTTCTCTTTCCACACAGTCCATTGGCCAAACTGCTGTTTCCTGCTGTGGACTCCAGCCTGTTAAAGTTTTTGTATGATGACAATCAGAAGGTGGAGCCAGAGTGGTACATACCCATAATTCCCTTGGTACTGGTAAACGGAGCTGAGGGTATCGGGACTGGCTGGGCATGCAAGATCCCCAACTATGACCCGCGAGAGATTGTCAACAACATCAGCCGTATGCTCAACCACCAGGACCCTCTACCCATGGTAAAACCTTATCCTCACTCTTTTACTGATGCATGTTTAATAGGAATGTGACAGCATTTAATTTTCATATAATGATTATCGCTGAAACTTACATCACAGTATCCACTATAATTTTAACTTATTAGCGGGAGTGGCCATATATGACTTGTGTGTAACTAATTATTTTAGTTGTACAGAAACTATTTTTTTATGCTTCTTAAAATTGTACACTTTATTTGTAAAGGAATTTGGCTTAATTTACAGTGGTGAACTGCAAGTGCCTTTCTCCCATGTTACGTAATGGTAGTATAACCAAAGAAAAAAACAAAAGTGTTCTCCATTTTGTAGCATGTTTGTATCTTGAGACCTTATCTAGCTAAAGTGATAAACAGCTGCCACTACTGCTTATACAGTCATACAACATCATATACCAGGGGTATTCAATTAAAGTTTGCCATTCCAAGAGGTCCGGTCTCTATATTTGCTTCGCAGCAAAGGTGCAGACATTTTTTCTTTTGTAAAAGGAAAGAATTTATACACTCAAAATTAGGGATGCACCGATACCGGTATCTGCTATCGGCCTCAATACCACATTTTCTAAAGTACTCGTATTCGTTAAAAGTCCCTCGATACCGGGGACCAATACCACGGTCTGAGAAATGTCTATGTTTGAGCGGCGTGTAAGGGGTTAATCACAGGCACCGAGTACCCGCCCCCAGGCCCCGGCTGCAGCTCAGAGTGGGAAGAAGTTGAGGCGAATGAGACGAGACATGCCAGCCGTGTAGAACTATTTCAAAGTGAATGAAGATGACAAAATAAAGGCTGACTGCAAATTGTGCTCAGCAAAATTGTCCAAAAGAGGCTCAAAAGGTATCACATTTAACACAAGTAATTTAATCAAGCACCTAAAATCCCAACATGACACAGAGTACAAAGAGTTTACTCACGCTTCTAAACCAACACAACCCAGGCTGCAGCAAACTCTTGCGAGACGAGATAAAATGTCCAGAGACAATCCACGTGCTGTGAAAATAACACAGGCAATTATCGAGTACATTGCATTGAGTGATCAGCCACTCTCGGAGGCAGAAAATGTGGGATTCCGGCGTCTCCTCCATGTTCTGGAGCCCAGATATGATGTCCCAAGCTGCCGCTACATGACTGACATGGAGCTGCCTAAACTACACGACTGAGTGCAAAAACATATCCACAGCCTACTGCAAGCCTCCTCTGCGTTTAGTTTCACCACAGATATTTGGACAAGCAGTGTTAGCCCCATGTCGCTAGTTAGCCTAACCTGCCAGTGGATAGACAAGAGTTTCACGCCGCAACGAGCCATATTACATGCGAAACAATTCCGCGGCTCGCACACCAGCCAGGCTATAGTGCATTGTGTTTGAGGAAATGCTCCAGACATGGGGTATACCTAAAACACCAGTTCATGTTGTGCTTCGTGACAATGCCAAAAACATGATTAAAGCCATGAATGATGCAGGGCTCCCAAGTCTGCCGTGTGTCGCGCACACGCTCCAACTGGCTGTTCACGAGGGCTTATTAGCACAGAGGAGCATCGCTGATGCTATAGCCGTGGGGCGGAAAATAGTTGGGCATTTTAAACATTCCGCCTTAGCCTACTCCCGCCTCGAGGACATTCAGGGACAGCTCAACCAGCCAATAAAGAGACTGCAGCAGGACGTACAGACGCGCTGGAACAGCACGTATTACATGCTCCAGTCCCTCATTGAACAAAAGTGAGTGCTGGGTGTGTACGTGTCCAAGCATGAGCTCCCTGACTATCTCACAGCTCACCAATGGGCTCTTATGGAGAAGACTGTTGCCATCCTCGCCCCCTTTGAGGAACTAACTAAAAAAGTGAGCAGCTACGACGCACTAGCCTCTGATGTCATCCCAGCTGTGACTGTGCTAGTGAGACTTCTAAACAGAGAAACAGACGAGGACCACGGCGTCAAGATAATGAAAGCAACCTTACTGGCAGCTGTCAAGAAGCGCTTCAGTGACGTCGAGACCAACCCACTGTACTTCATCTCCACCATACTTGACCCAAGGTAAAGTCTGTGTGCTATAGGTATTCAATGATAAACTACAGTACAAATTTGTAAGATTAATTAATTCCATCTGAAATATTATATTATAGTTTTGTAACTAAAATACACAAATACAAATGTGTGCAATATATATATATATATATAATATGAAATATATTTCCCTTATTACTACCAGAAAGCCAAATGGCTGGCATTTGTGACAGTGGTTTAGGGGAAATTAAAATATACTATTTTTGTCCTAATATGCCCTATTTTTCCACAATTTTGTTCAGGTATAAAGATCGCTTCTTCTCCAGCAACACTGCTCCGGAGGCCAAGCTGCACCTGAAGCAGGAGCTGCAGATGATGTCCAGAGCTGAGGCAGAGGGGAGTCAGGCAGAAGCTGCAGAACCTCCTGCTAAACTGTTCCTCAAGTCCCAGACCAGCACTAGCAGCTGTCTGGATACTGTATTTGATGAAATCGCTAAGGAGCAGCCCGAGGTAGCACAGTGGCTGGCAGCAGGTGCTTCCATTGAGCTCGACACATACCTCGGAGAGGCCCCAAGCCCTCGTGAAGACAGTCCTCTGAAGTATTGGGTGTCAACAAAATCAGGTTCCCCACTTTGGCTAAAATGGCCCATAAATACCTCTCAGCCCCATGTAGCAGTGTGGAAAGTGAAAGGCTTTTCAGCGCAGTGTCACACATTATAGATGAAAACAGAAACAGGCTGACTGCTGATAATGCAGAAAAGCTACTTTTCTTGAAAAAAAACCTGCCACTCACTTTTTCTAAATTGGCTCCTTTAAAGGGGTGATGAACTGAGAAATCAAATTTTCCTTGAGATTTTGACATCTAAGAGGTCATCATATTATAAGAATATCCTGTAAGTTTCAGAACTAAAAACGTCCTTGTTAGTCCAATAAAAGCTTTTATTGACACCAGCCTCTGAAAACGACTCGTTTTTAAAAGTGGGAAACTATGACGTCGAAGGGGTTAAAACACCACCCCCGCAGAAGAAGATCAACACCTATTTCAAAACGGCTGGTTTAGCCCCGCCCACCGATTTGCGCATTACACGCATAGCTAAGTAGCCTAACAGTATACCTACCTCGTGATGACAAACCGGATCGTTCTACCGAGCAATACAGAATATTGTGCAGTGCCTGGTTGTGGAAGAAGACAGTCGCTGCATAAGCTGGATTCCAATAGGACTGCATGGATAAACTTTATTTTTAATGACGGTCCAGCTGATGAGGATAAAACATCGTCGTCTGTTCGCTTCATTTCACTGAGGAATGTTTTGTAAACAAGACTGGATTTGCAGAACGATTAAGAGTAAAGAACGGTGCTGTGCCGTCTATATTGGATCTGACAGGAATTGTGCAACACACGGACTCTTGGTTGAACATGTATGGGCGAATCCGGTTGCCATTTGACAACATTGTACACCGACGGGTGAGTTAAACTCACTATAATATGCAAAACTGTTATCCACTCACAGCAGTGGTCGTTTATTTCCAAGTCTTCAGTGCGACATGCCCATAAAAACCGACCGTTTTTCAGGAAGGCTCACAACTTGGGTACAAAATAGCCTATTACTTTTTCATTTTGATGTTTTTGAATGCAAAAACCAAGCGAACGTTATAAGTTGACCTCAGACAACAATATAATAAAATTTTAAAAGCCAGTTCATGACACCTTTAAGTGAGTCGTCTTAGACTTGATGCTAATACCTACCTCAGTTGCACTGACTGCCACAGTTCATGTTGGTGGATGTTGTTAGTTTATTAAAATATTGTGCACTAAATAGCAAAGATGTTTATTAATGCCCCTTGTGTTGTCCAAAGCGGCAGAGTTTACAACAAACTGAAAAAAAAAATTGAATTGCACTGTCACTGTTTAAATTATTTTTTTATAATTATTTATTCTGTAATACAGTAGGTGGACAACCAGAATGTCGTTTACCGCTGCGGCAAGTGCCGCGGTAAATCTACCGCGGCAAAAATAAACCAGCCGTATTTCAAAGTCGGTGTCGAAATGACCACCAGGTGGCGCAAAGGGACATTTAGCAAAAGCAAAACGTAATTATGTAAAAGTAGTCGACATTTTAAATAGAATATAGCTTTAACTAGAATATAAACTTTTAGGCTATAGGAGAACATTTTATTCATCAAAAGGTAAAATAGGCCTATCTCGCAGTCAGCGAAAATAAAGTGCTGCTTTCAATGACGCTATTGAGGAATGCGAAGACTGAAGAGCGCTTCTCTCGCGTGCGCACACTGATTGCTGAACAACCGAACTTCTGGGCTATTGTCAGTGAGAAAAGTCGTGGTCGAGTGGTAGAACTTTGGTACAATCATTTTGATGACACTTTCAAATCCCGCATAAACATGTATTAGAATTACCTTGCATTTCTATTTTGCATTAAGGAACAAATCTCTTCCAACAGATTGACTGAATTTACATCTTCAACAGCAGTTATGTTAAAAAACCTAACCAAGCTAAGCAAGTTGCGATTTGCCGGTGGGGTATTTCCCCCTCCACAGTAATACAGTAGGTGGACAACCAGAATGTCGTTTACCGCTGCCGCGGTAAATCTACCGCGGCAAAAATAAACCAGCAGTATTTCAAAGTCGGTGGCGAAATGACCACCAGATGGCGCAAAGGGACATTTAGCGAAAGCAAAACGTAGGTAGCCTACATTTTAAATAGAATATAGCTTTAACTAGAATATAAACTTTTAGGCTATAGGAGAACATTTTATTAATCAAAAGTTAAAATAGGCCTGTCTCGCAGTCAGCGAAAATATAGTGCTGCCCAATGACGCTATTGAGGAATGCAAAGACTGAAGAGCGCTTCTCTCACATGCACACACTGACTGCTGAACAACCGAACCTCTGGGCTTTTGTCAGTGAGAAAAGTCGTGGTCGAGTGGTAGAACTTTGATACAATCATTTTGATGACACTGTTTCAAATCCCGCATAAACATGTATTAAAATTACCTTGCATTTCTATTTTATATTAAGGAACAAATCTCTTCCAACAGATTGACTGAATTTACATCTTCAAAAGCAGTTATGTTAAAAAAAAAATTCCATATAGATTTAAAAAAAAAAAAAAACCAAAAAAAAGCTACTGTAAGCAAGTTGCGATTTGCCGGTGGGGTATTTCCCCCTCCACAGTAATCAATGCTATAATTCGCCTAAATAGACAATATCAAATATGTGTGTATATATATTTTTTAAATATGCAACACGCACGTTTAAACAACAAATAGCCTAATAAAATCTGAACCAGCGCTTCTGCGCCTGTATTGAGACAACATGCAGTGCGCGCGTTTCAGTGCCCTTAATATTGTTCAACAAACGCGGCAGTGCTCACTTGAATTTATTTTTCTCATCACAGCTATAATAAAATCATATTTTAAAACTGCCCAGGCCTACATTTACAATAGGCATAACGACAAACCTTTTTCTTGCTCATTAGAGCGAACACATGGCTGAATGGTAGAACATAGGCCTATGGTTCTACTATTACAAAGACATGGGTTCGAAGCTTGATCAAGCATGGATTACTGTAGTTGTATTTTATATTTAGGGTATTAATGCAGAACGATTTGTTCTAAAACTCTGTTACACCATTTACTTTTTTGCTTATATTTATAAAATAAAATGACCATGCATTTCTATTTTACACTAAGGAACAAATCTCGTCCAACAGATTGACTGAATTTACATCTTCAAAAGCAGTTATGCAAAAAATATAGAAAATATAGAATATAGAAAATGTATAATTAAAAAAAAACATCCCCCTCCACAGTAATCAATGCTATAATTAGCCTAGACCATATAGCCTATATATATTTATTTATTTTTAAATATGCAACACGCATATTGCAATATATGCAACAAATAATAAAATCTGAACCAGCGCTTCTGCTCCTGTATTGAGAGATGTCAGTTTCAGTTTCAGTGGCCTTAATACATTGATTTACGGCTTTTTAAAATGTCACGAATTGTTTTGAGGTGGTTTTGAACGAAATCTTGAAATATTCAAGTTTATAATTGAGTATTTTTTGACACACCACGCCCAGTGTCTATTCTAAAATCAGGTTTTATTCTGGCATTAATTGTGTTCGACAAACGCGGCGGTGCTCACTTGAATTTATTTTTCTCATAACAGCTAAAATAAAATCATCTTTTAAACTGTAAAAGGTCTACGTTTTCGTGTAAAGTGGGCTTACACTCACAATAGGTTAACGACAAAACGTTTCCCTGCTCATTTGAGCGAATACTCACTGCAGAAACATGTTTGGGCATTTCTCCGTAAGTGAACACATGGCCAAGTGGTAGAACTTACGGTTAGAACCAGTGATGTTTTCGTCAGTGATGACGATAACGAAATGATTTCGTTAACGCACCATTTTTTTATGATGATAACGCGACGATGACTAGCTAAAAATAGCTCTGAGGTGACTAAAACATGAAGAGACGTTTTCAAGTTTTCGTTGACGAGACGAGACGGAACGAAAATGATTATAAGTCTGACGTTCACAATGCATGTAATTTATGCCTGTTTTGCGTGAAATCGGTCTGTATTGAGCTAAAAATAAGTATCAGCAATGCTGCCGTTTTCTATCGCATGCGCCCAGCACCGGCCGCCGCGCGCGCACCAGATTCCACACAACAACAACACAGGGTTTAATGGTAGTTTTTGTACCAAGTCAAGTCAATAGAGTCGGACAAAAACTAGGATAAAACCTGTTGGAAAGCATATTTTGCAGCGATGTTTGTGTGAGCATATCAGTGAACATCCCTGACCACTCGGTGAGTTTGACGTCTTTGTAAACGAATGTTTAATGCGTTTTATGAATGATTGTGTGGGTGCTAACACACAAACCTAAAATTCTCGGGACAACAGCATTTGTCCAAATTTCAATCTTAACCGTTCTATTTCATCAGAAACGATCTTAAAACAGGGCTTTAAGTGTAAAATACCTAACTAACCAAGACCAAATACAGTGTTTATTCTGGGATTGTCTTATTCATTTTTATGTTCAACACACTCCAAGTGTCATGTTTGTTTCATACTTTATATTCAATTATGCATTCTTTGGTCAATGCACCTCAGTATTAGATATTTATTTTATTATTTTGTTTCAGAATGTTTGCAACTTTGCAGTTTGCACAAGTTAAAGATAGACTATACATAATGTTTGTGTTTACAAAAAAATGTGCATCTTATTGTTGCATACTAAGTTGTTCATTGCACTTTAGCAATTTCTCAAATAAAGCCACAATTGCCAAAGTAAGAATGTTTTTATCCTTGGCTTTTTTGGAGTAAAACAGTGATTTCACTGTTACCACTTTATCTGTGTACAATGTTCAAGCTCAACGTTTTTGCTGTTTAAACTTTAAACCATTCCTTTATTCCTTTATTACTGTGATAACTGGTGAAAATAGCTTTTAATATTCAGGGGTAAAACTATAACTTGAAATATGGGGATAAAAGGTTTCTGCCCAATGTGACAATGAAGTACAGCTTGGCAATGGCAGCACTGCATCTCCATCAGTGAGAAAGTCTAGTTTATTATGCAAAGGTTGTAAGGTTAGCTTGTTTTATGAACTGCAACACTTGCTAAATCTGTCAAACCTAAGCCCATTTTCGCTACTTTTCAAACTAAATTAATTTGTTAAAGACTACTTTTTTTTTACTAAAATTGATTAAACTTGACTAAAATCTTTTGGTGTTTTCGTCGACTAAAACTTGACTAAAACTATTAAGTTTATAAGTGACTAAAATGTGACTAAAACTTAAAAGCATTTTCGTCCAAAAGACTAAGACTAAGACTAAGACTAAAAGGGCT